GCCGCTCGCCGCCCCTGGCCCCGCGGACAGCACCCTGCCCCGGGCAGAGCCACGCCGCTGTCGCCCGCACAGCCCTCGGGGAGCAGAAGAGTCACCATGCCGGCCCCACGCACCGCCGCCTTCCTCCTGCTGCACCTGGTCCTGCAGCCGTGGCAGCGGGCGGGCGCCCAGGCCACCCCCCAGGGTAAGTGGCCTCCCCGGGTCCCCCTCTGCACCTAGCCCGCCGCCGTCCCGAGATCGCCTAGGGGGCCCGGTTTTGCGTGCGCTGCTCTGTCTGCCTGGGCTCCTGCGGCCTCGCCCAGCACCCCGCAGTAACTCTTGGGCCCCGAATGGAAGTACATCGTGATTGGAAGGGATGATGAAAGTCTAGAATTTTCTCCAATTCCATTACCCAGCCATGGGTCTAATTAAACTTAAGTTGGGAGGATGCAAACTTATTTTCATCATTTACTGCAGAATGTGCCACACGGTCCTTGGTCCTCTGGCGGGGGATGGAATCCTAAGTTGTCTGCAGACCAGCGTCTGTCCCCTGCGGCCTCTTCTCTCCAGTGAGCCCCGGCACTAAGTGACCCCCTGAGCAAAGTGGCTTTGTTCCACTGCTGTACTTACTCCTTCCACTCAAAGGCGAACTTTCCCCCAGGGGGTAGTGTGATTTCTTGAGTCTTTCCAGAAATTGGTCTTTTTATATGAAGAGGTAAAAGAAAATTCAAGAATTTGACAGGGAGTAGAAATAGCTTTCATGTAGAAAGCACTCAAGCTTAAGCAAATTATCTTGTAAAGACCACAAGGAAGAAATTATTCCCGACAGGAAGGATCCCGGGACTCTGACGGTCTATGCCTTCTTCTTGGCACTAGGCGCCCGGGTGGTTTCACTATGTATGGACCGAGAAGGAGGAAAGCTGGAAGGAACGCACAGGTGGAGTGAAAATTATCCTTGCCGAAGCTGAGCGAAGCTGCCTGTGCAGGCAGTCTGTGTTCCCCACCACAGCAGCCACCCGTTTTACCGAACAGTCCAACCAGAATCACCCTCCTATTTTTAGTTTGGGTTGGAATATCGGGATCCTATGGCCTCAGTACACATTGTGGCCTGTTTTCTAGGAAGATGGAAAAGGGCATTTAAAAAAAAAAAAAAAAAAACTATTCGAAAGTTTTATTTTGAGAGGTTATTTTTCTGTTATATAATATTCTGTTATATAAATTCTTGACACTGCTCACACTGCTTGGTGGTGTGCCCCTTAGCCCTGGCAGTTCTGTGGAGACTGAGCTGAGGTGCTATGACCTAAATTATCAGGTTAACTTAGTTGCCGTAGAGGATCTGATTAAGTCAAGTTTCTGGTAGATTCTTTTATAGAGTTATCAAGTCGGCAATCATCAGCTCAACTGGATAATTCACTTATCTCCGTTCCCCTCTCAGCTGGCTGCTAGAACTAAATTAGCAGGTTTTCAATTTCCACGCTCATTGGGAAGCAGTCGTTTCCCCTCCAACGGCAGAGGCTTGTGCTTGGATCCTGGTACTTTTACTGACGTGTGATAGCATTAATAGGAAATGGTAGCATCTCATTTCCTTCTCAAAACACTCCGAAGTCGTTACTAACTCACCCCAGCTCAGCCTCTGGAGAGAGCCGTGAATGAACCACACAGATTGAAACACTCAAGTCCAGAGCCAGTTAAATCACAGGCGTGATCAAACTCGAAGCCAGGATTGAGCACCAGGTGTTTAGTTTGGAATACAGTTCTCATACTTCGAGTGTATGTGTCTTTCTTGAAGATGCCTTATCTAAAATGGAGTTTTCAAACACATTACTGTATTTCAACCTTACCCCCACCCCATTGGTGGGAATGATAAGCTTTCAATTCTTCAGAAATTAAAAACCGTGATTTCCCTTTTGAAATATATACTCAGCAATTGTTTTCATAGTTTGGGCCACTATAAGGATACATTAGATATTTTACTTTTCAACACATCTAGTATTAAATTCACTATTACATGAGGTCTTCTGGGGAATAGAAACAGCATAGATCCAGGCTGGAGAGATGGCTCAGTGGTTAAAGAGCACTGGCTGCTCTTCCAGAGGTCCTGAGTTCGATTCCCAGTAACCACATGGTGGCTCTCAACCATCTATAGTGGGATCTGATGCCCTCTTCTGCCATAAAGGTGCACATGCAGATAGAGCAGTCATATACATAAAATAAATATATAAAATCTTAAAAAAAAAAAAAGAAACAGCATAGATCCATCTTGGAAACAAATTATTAAAAAGAATAGACATTCTTGAGTAGCTAGGGTTTTTCCTGTTTGTCTTAGAAATTTTATTCATTTTTTAGTACAAAGTAATACTTGTTCATTATAAAAAATGATTTACCAGAACTGCAAGAAAATAAAGAAACAAAAAAGCCTTATACAACCTAGAAATAGCTAGTTTTAATGTAAAGATTTTGTTGAATCATCCTTTGTTTCAAATCTTTGTCTAAACAAATAAATTACTAAAAATAGCATGTTGTACACACACACACACACACACACACACACATATATAATTTTGTGACTTTTTAAACTTTATCATAAACATTTCTCTATATCTTCATGAATTTAGATACATTTAAAAAATATGGACCAAAATGAATTTAGTCAGTTTTGTAATATAGGACGCTAACGCTGTCTCTGGTATTTTGATATCATACTTAGTATCCTATTGGACAGCTGAAGTGGTGTGGTTGGCGTGGATTGGCACCAGCCATTGCTCTAACAATGAAGTCCATGAACATTTGATGTGCCATGGCAAAGCGCTCATCCAGGAGGGCTTCAGTATTGCCAACCGGTTCTTTCTAGTTTCACCTAATTCCTCCCACAGCAGAAACTGGAGAGTCACCACTGATGGGAACTGTCATGGTACCAAAGTCCTTTACTGTCTTATCTATTATTCCATTCCAGTAAATTCCAGTAAGTAGAATTGCTAGGTCAAGGGACATTTGCGTTTCAGCGTCTTGGATATTGTTATTTAAACTTCCTTCAGAATGCTTCTACTAATTTGGCCTGAAGGTATGGCGCACAGAGCTTGACTACCATGTACAAGCCCATGGGTTTTTACTGATTTAAACCTTACTGAGCAGACCATGAAAGAACTCCCTGACCGCTCACCTACAGTGTTAGGTATTACTGTATTCTTAATTTGTCCAATTTGATAGTAGAGTAGTATTATTTAAATTAGCAATTCTTTCATCACTAAATGAGCACATGGACACTTATCTATATACCTGTCAGCCATTTGTGATTCTTTTTCTGTAAATTGCATGGTTTCCTGTTAGGATGCTTATCATCTTGCAGATTCGCAAGATCTCTTTGTAAGTCATCAATGTGACCTTTTTAGCAATCAGATTATTGTAACCCAGAGATAGCTCCAGGTGCTGAAGTTCCTGGCCAGCCAGGGAATTGTTCAAGCATTATTTGTGCAAACCAGTAAGCATTCAGTGTGAGTACCAGTATCGCCCACCATCAGCTTCGCACTGGACAGTCGTGGCTCTGGACACACCCTCTCACACTTCACTGAGTCCCAGGAAGCTTTTCCGGAAAGCGCTGCCTACTGAGGAAGAAGCCATTTACGGTTGTACAAATGCAGATTTTACTTTTTGTAGACCAGCTCCATCCCTCTGCATGCAGTCGAGTCAAATAAACCACACACATCACTTTTTTGCTTCCTCGATGGGATGATTTTTTTTTTTTTTAACAGAGATCTTAGAGAACTGTACAGGCTCTCACAAAAGTGCCGGGTTGTGTTGTGATTGGTCCTCTCTCCACTACCGCACACGTGCGTTCTGCCTCTTCCCCTGTCATTTGTCACGGACCTGGAAAACACACTTAGCTCTGGTCCAACAGGTGCGTCAAGGACCCTGTAAGTGCAATTCACTGCTCGAGGACGTGACCAAAGTATTGAGCGGCCGCTCTCATCCATCCCGGCTTGTGCTTTAAGCCTTTAGTACTTTTCCTCCTAGTGATCGTCTTCAGAGCCACTTGCTCAGCCAAATCCAATTTTGTGTTTGCAAATCTAGTCTTCTCTTTAGGGCTATACCAAGTTAAGTCATAAATCCTGTGCTCTGTTTCTTCTGCTCCAAATGTCCGGCCACTATGATAGACAAGGACGAACTGGTGAATTTGACCATGTAGGGGGAAAAGGCAGCAAGATCACGTCCCATGATTTTGTAGCTTATTGTCAAACGCCCCTCCCACCAATCAACAATAGGAAGCATTGGCCCCACAGTCAGCCTTTCAGTGACCACCCGCTTCCCTCTCCTCTCTCCAGTCTTGGACCTTCTGCCGTCCCCCGGTCAGAGACTGAACCCAGGTGCCCTGCAGCCAGTCCTGACAGATCCCACCCTGCATGAGATCTACCTGATCTCCACCTTCAAGCTGCAGAGCAAGAGCTCGGCCACGATCTTTGGCCTTTACTCCTCCAGTGACAACAGCAAATACTTCGAATTCACCGTGATGGGACGCTTGAACAAAGGTAAGCCAACTCGCGGGGTGTTCGCCAAGTGCCCCTCCTAGCCTAGGATTTGGGGTCTACTTCAGGTGGCTCCTGTTGCTTGCTTCCTTTCTGATGCCCTAGTCTTATGGGGCACTCACCTGCATGATGGTGGCTGAGAGAGGAAAAGGAAGAATTGCTTGTGACCAATATACCCCTTTTGTTACTGTATGACTTGCACAGTAGGTTTCATCCTGGCATTACCATACATGTATGGAATGTGTTCTCACTGAAGTCACCGCCACATTGCCCTCTCTTGACCCCACCGTTCTCCCTTCCTCTTGCCAACGAGTCCTCCTGCCTCCATGTTTTGAGGGGTTTGTTTGTTGTAAGTCATTAGAATTAGTTACAGGAACCTGGGTGATGGGGTTATGTAGAGGAGCATGAGCCACTTGCCTGTGGCTACACCCTGAAGAACTGTCTCTCCCTCCCCCAGCCACCATTAGATCTGACCACCTATAGTTCCTCGGGGAAGTGTTGGGTCTTTGTGAACCCTTCTCCAGCCTATGGCAGAGTGTTGATAGGCTCAGTCTTATGCAGATCTTATTAAAGGGATCACAGTTCCTGGGAGTGTGAAAGTGCAGTGACCCAGCCGTGCCCGGGAGGTAGCACTTCACAGCACCCCGCCCCTTCCTGCGACTCTTGCATTATTTCTGTTTCGTGCCCAAGATGCCTTCTGGCATGGTTCCCTCCTCACGTTATTCTGAATCCAGTTCAGAAATGGATGAGACCAGGACAATGACACACGGCCCTTATCATCCTCGGCTATCACTAGTGTGTAGAGTAGGTAGCTTAAGTGGCAGACATTTATTTCTCGTAGTTGTAGAGACTGGGAAGTCTGAAGTCAAATTCCAGGCAGGTGTGCTTGTCTTACACAATCATCTTTTCACTGTGTCTTCACAAGGCGGACACAGGGCAAGCTCTCCTCTGTCTCTTCTTGTAACTGCATGAATCCTCCAATGAGGGTCCCACCCTCAGGACCTGATCTCAGCTTACTAATGCCCCAAGTCTCCACCTCCAAATGCCGTCGTATTGGAGATTAAGACTTCAGTGGATTACGGTGAGACCACCTCACTCTTCCTGGGTTCACTCGGATGCCATGGCTGAGCAGACGGAACTCACAGCTGGGGGAGGGGGTACTTTGCTGGCCTTACAGGAGCCCGCACACCTCAAGCGACAGGGAAGAATGAACAGTTTTCAGCCTGATTCACCTCAGTGCGCACAGGTATCTCACTGCGGTCTGGCATGTTTTCCTGTCAAAGGGAGTTTCTATTGACACTGAGAAAGGTCTCCCAGAGGAAAAGGTTGTGGATTTTCACCCTCTTCCTTTTCACCCAAGCCCCGGGGACAACACCTGGTCCTGTTTATTAAGGAATGTGACAGACACATATTTTGCTGGCTGCTTTGTGCATTTCTAAACAAAAGGGACTGGGTTTTGTATCTGTTTCAGCTTGCTTTATGAGTAGACCCTTCTTAGTGTTTCAGAGTGTCTCTTAGTTGTATTCATGCTTGAACTCTTGAACTGAGGGCTAAGGAAAGTCTTTGCTTGTACAGACTGGTAGAGTTTAAGCAGAAAGGGGTGGGCTGTAACCCTTTTTTTAAAGCTAACCTTTTGCTCCTCTCTTCCCTTCTCCCACACACCCTTCCATGGGCTTCCTTGGTCTGCCCCTGGGTGAGTTTCAGGGTGACGTGAGATTTCAGGTAACGGAGTCTGGGATATGATGAGCAGATAGGTCAGCCCTTCCTGCCCTTTTTCCCTGTTCCCTTCCACGCTAAGAGGTAACTTAGCCCACCTCTTTGCCTCCCATGAGCCAGCTCCATTAGCCTCACATCAACAACTGAACTTGTTGCTGGCTTTGCAGCTATTTCAGGAAAGACCTTTGTTCCTGCTCAGTTCAGCAGAACGAAACCTGCTCTTAGCTTTCCCTACGCCTGCATCTCTCCCGCTGCTTCTAAGATGGCCAGGCTGTGTGGATCATCATGCCAGGGAACACAGGAAGCCACCCCTCCAGAACTGACTCTTCCCACTTACTCTCAAAGCCAAAGAAACACTAGATCCATGGCACAGACAGAAATGAGTGGAGGGCTTGTTATTGTTTCCTCTGAAGAGACACCAGCGATACCATGCAGCTATAAGTTCTAGATGGTCAAACGTTTTAGCGAAAAGACGAGGTAGCTGATTAAAACCTCCTCTTATTCGTTTTCCAGTGTGGCAGATTGAACCTAAGGTCTCACGTGTGTTAAGCAAGCACTGTACCAATAAGCTCCATCCCAGCCCTCCTCTTACGGTGTGGACGTTAAATGTTCCTTAGAGGCCCACGTGCTAAAGCGTGTGTCACTGGAAGAGTATTACCTGGGGCTGAGGAAGTCGGGTCACTGGGGGTGTTCCCTGGAAGGGGACATGGGGACTCCGGGACTTCTTCTGTTTTTCTCTCTTTTATGGCTGCCACAAAGGGATTAATTTTTGCCCCACCGTGTGCTGCCCATAACGGTGTTCTGCCCATGGACCTCTACAGCTGTGAGCCAAAATAAATGTTCTTCTTTTGAGTTGTTGACTTCAGCAATTTTGTCACAGCAAAGGAAAGCTGACTGGCACACCTCCTCACCCTCCTGCCTGTTAAAAAAAAGATAAGTGATTCTTAGAAAAATATGAGTAACAACAACAACAAAAAGTTCCAAGAGAATCCAGAAATGAGAACTCTCAGAAAGCAAAGAGGTATTATATGAGTATTAAAGCTTGGAGAGTTAAAGGATACATCTAGAATTGTTTCTCTAGAACAACGGGGAAAGTGCACATATTTGCCATCACTGCCAAAGTGATGCAGAAGTTCTAGGAAGGAGCAACCCTCATAATGAACTGCACAGTAAAGGAGAATCAGTGAGTCCCTCCAGTCCAAAGAGAAGAGGTGGCATGTGGCTGTGACTTCTCAGTGAGCAGTGTAATGGTAGCCTTGCGGACATAGTTTATGGATGCACGGGAGAATGATCTCCCTGCATGGTGATCTCCAGGCATACCTCAGCTGGCTGAGGCTCAGCTGGTCTCCTTTTCTGTTAGTTTGCAAAGCAAACAGTGCCATGCTCAGAAGAAATTGAAATGCATTTCTACTGACTTAAAATACCTGAGTAGGAAATGAAACCCCCCTCCTCCTCCTCTAGTGGACCTGAGTGAGTTTTAGCCAGGTGAGGAAACAACTGCTCAGATGATATTGAGGATCAGGATTAGGCCCTCTTCCTAGATGAACTCCTGGACTAACCCGAAGTTAGTGTGACTAAGGATGACCACAGAAGAACTCGTCAGTGAGCCCTTCACCCCAGTTCTCTCCCTCTCCAAATCACCCCACCCACCGCCATTTCACTGCTGCTCACAAAGTAGTTTGGGTCAAGGTACACCCAACCACAGAGACCTGTAGTGGCCCCCATTCCAAAATGAATAAGGTGGAATTGCCTTGCCTTTCCGGGCTCTACACTGTAGGGTCTAAACACAACCCTCAACTACACTCCCCAATTTGTGCCTCACTACGGGATTCTCTGCAGCCTGTGCTTCAGCTAGAAAGAGCAGCCATCACACTCGGGGCCCTCTCTTGTTGTCTTTCTTTCTCTGTTCTTCTGCCCTCTGCTCTTCCCACTACATGTCCTGCACCATCTCCCCACCCCAAAATCTTACACATTGAAGACCCTTCTAAAAACCATCTCATGGGTTCCTTTATATGACTTTATGCGTTCCGACCAACAGAGGTACTGATTGTACACTGCTTAGTACTTTAATTGCTCGCAAGTCTCTCCAGTAGGTTATGAGCTCTTTCTCGGCAGAGCTAAGACACCCCTTCCCTGGTTTTGTACTAACATGTCCCTTTGTATATATTCCAGCAGGACTGGGAAGGTAAAACTGATTCCATATGTGCAAGCTGAATAAAATAAATGGTGACACACCATTTTGTGGAAATGATGGAATTACAGTGTCTGGTACATGTAAATTGCTTGAAACAAATGTTTAATGATTGCACGTGGGATAACTTTTGCATACAAGAAGATACAGGTAGTGTTTCTGGTACAAATGACCTGTCAAGTTCTTAGTAACACAGGTGGCGAGATCTTTCCATAAATGAGTATTTTATAGAAACCATGTGCTTGGATATATTGAAGCCATTCTGGTATCTGACATGGAGACAATTTTCTTGTTAGCATCCCAGATTTGGGTCCTGGTTAAAATCCTGCCAACTGGTCACCATGGCATCTGTGTAACCATCAGCACAGTTATCATCTTCTACAGCACGGGTGATAATAGTCATCTCAGAATGACCCCCAAAATGGAAGTGTGTGCTGAACCCCATTAGCCTATGGGGTTCAATAAAAAAAGCTTCAGGTTCTTAAATAGGGATGGATGGATGGATGGATGGATGGATGGATGGATGGATGGATGGATGGGTGGGTGGATGGGTGGATGGATGGATGGATGGATGGATGGATGGATGGATGGATGGATGGATGGATGGATTTCTGGGTGGGTGGGTGGATGGATGGGTGGGTGGGG